CTGAATTTTTTTCATAGTAACCATCCTAGCTTTTATTTATTTTATTATTTCATTTTTTTTAACCTTTCCAATTTTTAAAATGTGAACATAAGTAAAACTACTATGGGTATCTCCAAAGCCAAACAATTGAATAAATCCAACTGAGAAGACTTGGAGAATCCTGTAGGACTTATCCTCTATAAAAAGGACTCCATTGAGCACTCTGACCCCCTTCTGTCATATGAGGACAGGGTAAGAAGAAGGTGTGCCCTGATCTTGTTCATAACACAGAATAGTATGGGCATGGGAATTTATACAGCAGGTCACGTACAAAAACATGTTAGAGTTCTGCCCTGTCCCTCCGACTCTCTCGCTGCCACACCACTCCAGAAAGTACCCCACCACCACACTGCTACCTCTCCTCCACCTTCTCTCTGGCTCCATGCTACTTTGTTATTGTCTTTTTGTCATTTTTCCAACACTTGTCTCTTGTCTGACCGATCTGGCTATGTTCACTATCCAGAGGATGCTGAGTTTCTTCTGTAATTTTTTTGTTTTGTTTTATTTTTCCATTTGGAGAGCAGCTATCTGGAATACATCTCTCCTCTTCATTAGACAGATTGTGAAAATTAGCTGGCATATAATAGATGCTACATTAGTCAGCGTTTTTATTGCTGGGACAAAATATCTGACAGGACTTAAAGAAGCAAAAGCTTATTTTGTTCATGGTTTCAGTTTTCAGGCAATGGTTGACTCACTCAAGGCAGAAACATCACAGCACAAAGCTGCCTGACAGAGGGGAGTTGCTGAATTCTTGGTATCCAGGAAGCAGAGAGGAAGGGGCCAGGAACCAGATATAGTCCCCAAGGTCATGGCCACATGACCCACCTAGATACACCCAAAACTTTGCTTTCCTAACCTCCTAGGCATCACTCAAGCCAATCAAGTTGACCATCCAAATTAACCATCACAAATGCCCAGTGAATGGTAGCTGATCTTACAGAACCTACCTCACATGAGTACTTTGAACATTATTAGACAAGCAGCGAACACAAAGTGCATCTTAGGGTGCACTTTCAGAAGCCTCGTGACTATTATTGTGACAGTAACTGGGAGCCCGGTGTGTAGGACTTAATCACTGTTTAGCATGACAAGCTGCCAGTGACCTTGGGTCCATGTTATATGAGATTCTCCTTGGAGTGGATGATCTTTGACTCTTCCCAGAACTTTCCCCAGAAGTTAAAGCACTTCCCTTTAAGTAAACATGTGTAAGGGGGAACACGTGTCCACTTCCTTGGGGTAATGGTTTAACAAGATGTTTTGTAGCTCAGAAAACCTGCCGTTCCCAATATCTCCTTCCTAGGAGGAGGAGAGAATAAATTTGGACTTTGTAGGGGAAGGACTCTTGTCTTCAGCTGTTCCTACATGTGTCACAAAATGCAATGGCTCCTCTCATCTGTTACCTACTATTTCAGGTGTCTGTGATCAGTTGTTCTCAAACTATTCCGTGGAAAATTTCAGAAATAAACAATTCTGAAGTTTTAAATTGTGCACCATTTTGAGTAGTGTGACAAGACCTCGCGGTATCTACTCCTGAGTCGCCCCTTTGTCTTTTGATCCCTGCTGTATGTTCTGCTTGCCCATTAGTCACTCAGTGGCTGACTTGACTATCAGGTCAGCCTTGTGGTTGGTGTGCTCAGATGATCCTTATTTTATTTAATGGCCCCAAAGCGCAAAAGTAGTGATGATGGTGATTTCATGGCAATTATGGTTATAATTGTTCTATTTTATTGGTAGCATTTGCTGTTACTCTCTATTGTGCTAATTATAAATTAAATGTAATCATGTTGCATTACATAGTTATTTAAAACATAGTATATAGAGTTTGGTACTATCTTAAAAAAAAAAACAACAGAGTGTATACCTGTAGGGTTTGTACTATCTGTGGTTCTAGGCATTTACTGACAGGTTTTGGAACGTATTCCCTATGGATAAGAGGGGAGTATTCTACCTAAGACTGGGTAATTTATAAACAATTGAAATTTCTTTCTTTCTCACAATTCTGGAGGTTGAGTAATACAAGATCAAGATGTTAGCAAACTGTTTCAACCACATACAGATTTATTCATTTCCTCTTTTTTCTTTCTTTCATAGATTAATTTGGTAAAATGGAGAATTTCTGAACATTAGGCCCCATGGTTTAATTTATAGGAGTAAAAGGGAGTGACCTTCATCTAATTACGTCTTTTTCCAAAAGGTTATTAAGGACTGAATGTGTGTGCCCATGCCCCATTTGTTTGTCGAAATCCTAACCCCATCATGGTGGCCTTTGGAGGTAGGACCTTTGGGAGGAGATTAAATTGTTACAGTAGAGCCCTGCGGAATAGGATTAGCACCTCTATAAAAAGGACCCCATTGAGCACTCTGGCTCCTTTCTGTCATATGAGGACAGGGTAAGAAGAAGGTGTGCCCTGATCTTGGACTTCTCACCTCCCAGACCATGAGACATAAATATTTGCCATTTGAGCCATCTAGGATATGGCATTCATTTACAGCCACCGGCCAAACCTGAATCCTCCCTTCTTGGATTTTGGAGGCAGGAGGGGGCTGACCTCCAACCAGATCCCTGTACCTCCTACTTCAACAACAGCCATCCCTGTATAAACACAGCACCCAGGTGACTGGCACAGACACAGCCCCAGTCTTGCATTGCCTGCACTCTTGAGGGTTGAGAAGAGTTGTGCAGGGAAAGCACCTTAGCTGTGCTCCACCTAAGCATGTAGGAAACAGACCCTAACTGGTCAACTGAGGCAGCATTGGGTGGGATTCTTGGAGATGTTACTCCGCGTCCCTGAGCCTTGACTTTCATGAAGGTAAAGTGGGAATGATAGCAAATGCACCTCCCAGGACTGTTGGGAGCCCTTGGTGAGGAGTTGTTACTGTGATGGCCTCTCAAAGGCTGTACGCACTATCCTGAAAGCAAGGGGGAAGATTCTGGGGGCTGGAGAGGTTTATTTCCCGACTCCCAACACCTCTGCAGCCCCACCCCAATCATCTGCATTTCTCTGTAACTGCCTCCAGCGCGTTCAGACAGACCTTTCTCCTTTCTGGGGTCTAGGACACTCTCTCAAAACAGTTTACATCCTCAGGCTGCTTTTCAGGAGTGGCCCCAGCAGACTCCTAGAAGGAGCCATCTCCTTCCCTCAAGATTTATAGAGGAAGAAAGAAGGCCCAGCTAACAGCAATTAAAGCAGCACTGCAGTGCTTGATGCTCTCCTCACAAGACCCTTAGGCCTTGAGTCCCAGAAACAGTTGTAGAGAGATGGGAGAAAATCTTCCCTTGTTCCTCTCCCCAGCAGACAAGAGAGAGAGAGAGTTCTACAGGTTGTATTTGACCTGGAACCTTCAAGGCTTTCCCAATTCGTTTAAGGACATCTAAGAGGAATGAAAAGCATTTCCCTCTTCCCCTCCCTTGTTTTCCCTCTTCTTTCCCGCCTATGCCATCCTTCTTTCCTCTTCTGTTCTCACTTCCTAACACCAATAGCTTTTTCAGATTATCCTGGTACCACGTATCTCTCAAAGAATGCTGTTTTCCCCTACACTTAAAAGGTTATTCTAATAATAGTTTTGAAGCATAAAGTTCAAGGCCAAGGTAGTAAGTACTTTTTTAAATTTAAAAAATACTTTCTTCTTTTTAATCAAAAATTACTCATGCTCATGGAAAAAAGCAATCAAATAGCCCATGTGTATATAGAACATAAAACCTTCTACTATGTTTCCCTCAAATCTCTTTCCTTAAAGTGACCACCACTAAGCAGTCTGACATGCATCCTTCCAGACATTTCTTTCTTTTTCTTTTCTTTATTTTTTTGGTAGTGGGATCACACTTGGGACCTTGAGCTTGCAAGGCAGGCTGCGGAACTGCTGAGCTAAAACCCAGCCCTTTCGAGACATTTCTGAATGGACCATTTGACAGGTATATAGTAATTGCATACAATGTCCCAGGCAGTGTGCTGCGTGCTGGGTGCTATTGGCAACCAAACATAAATCCACATACTGTACATGCAAATTTTTGTGTATCCATCATATATATTGGCAAAGCTTCTCAGCCTTTTGGCTAAGATCAAGTGTATCGTATATATTGGCAAATACAAGATAACATTTACTAAGTAATAGCTCAGAGCCATTTCTCCAAGTTAATATGTAGAAATAAGTATACATATTATGATTTTTCACAACTATATAGTATTCCGGTAGAAAGATATGCCAAAATGTTTATTACTTGCATTATGCTATTTTAAAAACCACCCACATTTCCTTTGCTTATAGAATGTCGAACAACCAGCTTCAAGTACCGTGCTTGAGCAGCAACTGGCACAGTCAGGATGGGTGCTCTAGGGTCTGTCCCCTATGTGAGGGTGGGGAGACAGCCAGCTGTGTGGGCTGCCCATCACACCTCTTAACCAGCAGACAAGTCCAGCAGCAGAGGCCCAATATCAGGAGCCCAGCCAGCCAGTGGTATGGCTGAGTGCACACCCAGACGGTCTGAATTCAAAGCTGCTGCCACCAAGGCTCCCATCACCCCCTGCTGTCCTCAGAGTCTCAGTGTGTTTATAAACACACACATTGCTGTGGTATCCCTCCTCCAGCACCAGCTTTGTGCTGTAAATTGTGTAGGCTACTGATTAAACAATGGGAAAGGAATGAAAGGAAATAAACTTGAGGTCATGAAATAGGAAGCCAGAGAGAACTCTGTGGGGGTGGGGTTAGGGTGGAGGGGTCTGGGCAGTAGGCCCCCTCTGGTTAAGGGCAGCAGATGCTGAGGTTTTAACAGCTGCTGGAGAAAGGAAGTTGCTCCCTATTCTTCCCCACTATCTGCCGGGTTTCCTTGTTTGAAGCGGCTGATGAGTAAGCAGACTTCACACCAAGTTCAGTTTCTTTCCCAGCAGCGTGGGCACTGCAGTCACTGGGGGGTCCCAGGCACTCCTCCGCGCAGTTTCCTAGCTGGGTGGTGAAAACAAAAATGCAGCCTAATTGGTCCCTGGCTCTTTCTAGTGAATGAAGGAGGTTTCTGTTTTAAGAAATAAAGTGACTTAGCTGTTGATTCACTGCCCACAGGGAGATTTCTGAGCACAGGCTCCCTAGCCTCCGCAGAGATTTGCATACAACTTCCACTTCCTGCTTCAGAGCCTGTTCTACAACTTACCTGGCCCTGGACAGGGCAAAGGAGGTGGAGAGCAACCCGAGGTGGAGACAGGAGAGACTCAGAAAGCACGACCACCCCCGACCCCTGTCTATCTATCTGTCCCTGGTGGGTTTAAGGTGAGTGATCCCGCCCTGTCTGATTTCTTAACCACTGACCCACTTTCCAAAACACTATTTTCTCTTTGCTGAAATATTCTGCCCCTAATTTCCTCAGCCCTACCCTCTCTCTTCACTCTTGTTTGTATGGGGACAGACTCGGGCTGAGAAAATGATAGTAAGTTTCTGAAGCAAGAATGTGTTGCTGGATTAGTGTTTTGGGCCAGCAAACCAAGATTTAACTCTTGGAAGAGAGGAAGCCCACACACTGCCGTGATTCCAAGCTGCTTGGGAACCTTTCGGGTATTTGCTGGCCCCTCAAGTTTTGATCAAGGCTTGAAACTCCACTGCTCCAAGGAGGGACCCTCCAAGTAAGTTTTCAGCCCCGGGACATGTCAGTGGTAGAATGGAAAGGTCAGCTCCCAAATTTTCTCTATCCTAGTCTCATGCAAAGGGAAAGAAAATCCACACATTCTTGTCAGGACAGCCCACTGAGCTCTGGACTGGTTGTGAGCCTTCCCTGTTTTCTCTGCAGTCCTGTTCTCCTCAGACTTTTGTGGACCCTGGATAGAGCATTGTGGGGACGCCAGTGGAAAAATGTTGTACTTGGTATGACAAGCTGAACAGGCCTCTTGTGATGTCCAGGTTCAAGGTGCTATCTTCAAATAGGTAGATTTTTCTTTTTCAAAATGGGAGAAAATAGGCCAAATAATTTAAAAAGAAGACAGGAAGCTTGGATCGAATTTCTCACTGTACTTTGTGTGGTTCCATCTCTTACACAATTCACTTTAGCTCCCCTGGGCCTGGATTTCTTCATCCGTATAGTGTGTGTGTGTGTGTGTATGTGTTTACTAGCATGATTATGTTTAAATTCCTTTCTGACCAAACACGGCTGGGCAGAGGCAGAGGGATAACCTTAATGGGTGGTCTTAGAAGGCTTGTTTTGCTTACTGGTTATTACCTATATAAATTTTACCTTCTACTTCTAGTTGGTGGGGCCCTGGAGAAAAAAGACTTTGTTTCTTAATACTTTTCTGGGTGCCAGAATCTCCCCTACTAGCAAAGAGCACATACTGCAAGTCACATACAGGATGCCTCGTAGATGCCCCAGCTTCTTCCCACAACAGCCTCTTTGATTTCTGTTTCCCTCATCTGCTCTCTAGGCCAAAGGTAAAGCAGCAGTCAGGCTGAGCTGTTGGTAGAAGCTGGTTCTGCAGAGGGCTGCTAAGAGCTGGGGTCTTATTATTGGTTCTAGCCAGATATGAGGAAATGGAGGATTTCTTGACTTGGTTTGTGTCCCGTTTGGGTTTCCCAGGAAGCATTGCCCATCCCATGCATTTGCTCACAGAGTCAAAGGAGGCTGGAGAGCTGCAGGCAGGCACGCTCAGTGCCAGAAATCAGAGACTGACTTAGCTGGAGCGCGAAACATCTCCCAATGGGACAGTCAGTGTGTGGGGCCTTTAATGGGAGGGGACAGGAAACAGTGAAACAACCTCTCGCCATGTCAGGGTATGACGATGATCAGACTCATTGTTAGATAGATGGCAGATACACGGAATCTTTAACCTTTTCCAAACCACTGCCTTTTAAAAATGTGTTATTGTTTATTTAGGGCAATTTCTCTCTGTCAGTACGGTTCCAACAGGCTCTGGCTGACTGGGATGGGCTGACTCAGGGATTTTGGTCTTGCTGAACTGCTGTGGACTATCAAAGGCCTCGTAGCGTCCTTGTCGCATTTTTAGATGTTTCTGTTTAGTCCTCTGGGATAAGAACGCAGTAATTTCTGGGCGTTTCACTTGTGGTGAATTCCTAATTTTACTTTCAAATAACAATGCATCATTATCTGAAATCAGGCTGGCTGTTGCCAGCCTTGGGTCCGTGGTCGAGGCCCCACCCACCACAGTCTCTTAATGTCGGGCTGCCACTTCCAGTCCTTCCATGCTGGTGTCAGGAGGAGAATGCCACCACTCTGCTCTTTTCCAGGGATGGGTTAACGAGGAGCAGGGTCTGGTTAATATATCACAATGTTGGAGGGAAAGCTTCCTAACTCCGATCTCATTTTCAAAAATGCAGACAGAAAATGTTACAGCCTGCTTGTACCAGGACTGAGGAGTTAGTGACTTTCAAATGTTCTGAAAATTAAAAGAGGAGAATCATATTTGCAGGCATTTTTTTTAACAGGCACTCAGCAAGATAGATGATGGTGAGGTAGTTTGTCTAAATTAGATCAATGTTTTACACATCACAGAATGGAAATCTCAGATATATCGTGAATTCAAATCATTTTTCTGCTGCAGGCAATTTTTAAAGTGTACATATATCAATTGCAGGCAACTGCTGCAGCAAAAAACAAGAGCACAGACGAAGCACATTAAACTTTAAATTCCTTTCAGATCTAACTAAACGACCCCTAATATTTGATCACATTTTCTTATCAAAACAATCCAGCAGGCCTTCTGTGAGAAAGCATCTAAATGAGGGCTGGAATCAAGACAGTGTCCCCTGGGTCTCTCCGGTTTCTTCCCAGTGCCTTGTCACCAAGCTATTTTTGGTTGGTGAAACCCAGGCTGTCCTTCTCCCTCCGACATTCATGTCTCACGCCCAGCCAGCCTCCCGGAACACCCGCGTACTCAGAGGCCTGGCTGCTCAGTTCTCTCTGCCCATGTGCACACGTGCACACAGAGGTGCGCACAGACCTTCCTGGAGAAAGGGAACTAACTGTACACGATGACGTAGCGTGGTCTTGCAGGCATGCAGTCACGCTTGGAGCTGTGGCGATTTGACTTGGCTCCCTGGTGAGGCAGCTGAAATCAAGCAGGTGGGCAGGGATGGAACTGACTGGAGCCCTTGCCTGTGGGCCCCCCAGCACGCCAAGGACGGGGCCTGCTTGGGCCTTGGCAGGTCCTTGGTGAGGAAAGAAACTTGGCTGTCCTGTGCTACCTTGCTGTCCTGTGTCCAGGGTTCTGTGTTTTTTTCCTTTTCCTCTCCCAGGGTCAGTAGGTCTCACTCATGTCCCTGAACTTTCTTCCTACTCTGAGCTGTCTGCCCACACTCTTCCTGGTCACGGGGCTTACCCCATCATGGTCGGACCTTTTGCCTGGATTCAGATTTTCCCCTCTTTCAACTAATGCTTCTCATACCCATAACCCATACAAACTACAAGTCAAATAAGTCTCCTACACCAATATACGGCAAATGAAAACTCCACTTCCCTCACTTCTCTCTTTTCCACACTGCTCTCTGCTTTTCCATCCCTTCCTTCCTTTAGTCTGTGGGAAGGACTAAATTGAGGATCATAAATGTGTGCTTAGGGAAGCTATCTTATTTGAAAGAAAAAAAAAATACAATGACAACAGAAGAACACAGGCTGGTTTGCAGTTGTTCTCTTACGTGTTTTTTTACCAGCTTCCAACGTGGCAGTCAGTCTGTTCCCACTTGTCCATCTCCCCCTCCCCAAGCAGCTTGGAGGAGTCCCAGTTCCTCCGGCTGGGTAAGCTCTGCCACCCGGTGCGCAGCCCTCACATGGGACTTCTATGCGGGGTTATGTCCAGGGGCCAGTCAGTGGTCCTTTGTCTCTAGGGTTCCTATTACTTCAAATCCTTTCACAACCTAATGGAGGAAATCCCCAGACCAGGACATTCTACAAGTAAACGTAGTACTATTTGTTCACAGAGGTGTAAATCTGAGCCAAGAGGTTCACTCAAAAGCAACCTTCTGGGTGGGGTGGAACATGCCTGTCATCTCAACTACTCAGGAAGCTGAGGCAGGAGGACTTCAAGTTTGAGGCCAGCCTGGGCGACTTAGTGAGACCCTATCTCAAAATAAAATTTTAAAATAAAAAGGGTCAGGGATGTAGCTCAGTGATACAATGCTTTCCTAGTATGTCCAAGATCCTGGGTTCAATGCCTAGTACAACAACAATTTCCACTAAGTGGACCAATATTATGGAAAGTTTGCATGCATTTGGGCTGTGAGCAGAAAACATTAATGAGTATACAGGTTTTAGTTTTTAAATTCGTGGCTTTAAGGCACATTAAAAGAAGTTAATCCCAGGGAATTAAATAAGACCTTGAAATCTAAAATTGAAAGTGTCTGATCCAAATTGGATCTGAGGAGCCTTGTACCTGTAAGTTTATGTTTTTATTTGTTCTACCCACCTGAAATAGTAATGCTGTGAATTTATAGGAGTCTTCAGCCCTATTATTGGTCCACCCAAAAATACTAGGAAAAAAAAAATACAACCAGTTGGTAAACATCCAGCCTTGATTATCTGGGAGCTGTTAATGTGGTTTATTAATTACTCAGGCTGCTCGCTCCTGGCCTTCCCCTATTCCTGCCTCTGCTATCTGTCTTCTTGCAGGGACGGATCACCTTCATTATGTCCCAGCCGTCCTTGCTTCAGAGGCGTCCCTGGAAGATATCCCCTCTCCAAATACATCACCATTTATCATCACCTTTTGTTTGTGCTCTGTCAACAAGTTTTCAATTTATTTTGAATTCAGTTTATGATTAAAATTTAATGAGATCCAATCAAGTGCTTCGAATCAAGATGCCTCTGCAGTGTCACCGTATCCTCTGTTATAATAGCGTGAAGGAAGTTTTCCAGCCTGGCAATGCTTTATAGAACACAGGTGACCTGTGCCACACCCCTCGGTGTCAAGGTGAATTGTTCTGAAATATGCTTATTCCAGAAGGTGCTAGGAGTTCTGTGCTTCCCTCAGACCCTTTCTCTCTCCCAAATAGCTGTACTTGTCTGTCCTCCCAGCTAGGATATAAGCAATTCAGTGCACAGGCTCTGGGGCTGGATTGCTTGGATTTGAATCCCAGCTATGCTATCTATAACCTTGTCATCTTGAGAAAGCTACTTAACCTCCCTGTGTCTCAGTTTCCCCATCTATAAAATGAGGCCAACAGTAGTACTTATCAGCTAGGGCCACTGTATTAGATCATTTAATGTTTGTTTAACACGTGGGTTGATATTTCACACACAGAAACCATTCAACAAATATTAACATGATTGC